TATACATATATATATATATATAGTTAACGTTACCATTGAATTTCTTTTAAATAATTATTTTTAAAAGATTAAGATATTAATGAAAATAAAATTTTCAAAATCATTTCAATTTCATATATTTTAAAAATTATATTATAAAATTATAATGTAGAAGTGTAAGCTGATACAGATAACACGAACTAATCCAAACTGATCTAATGAGTTCGAATCAAATTCTTTTAGTGTTCATGTCAGACCTAATCCAACGTGACCCAACCTAACCATGTCACATATAATTAATAAATAAATAAATGTTATAATAATAATAATAATAATAATAATAATAAGTTAGTATTTTGATGATTACTTGCTCAAGATAATTCTTTGTGTCACTCTTGTTCAGGATTTAGGAATGAATTTTGTATTTTTGAGTTGATAGTGTAACGTAGTAAGTTGTTTCAGAAGGCCCAAAAGCCCAATATGGGTGATTTAGTAGCCTAGAACGAGCCGTTCCAAACTACTAAATTGACTTGAAAATCGTAGTTGAGAACGAGCCGTTCTGGAGGGAGAACGGGCCGTTCCAAACCCCAAAATGGGTCGTTTTGGAGGGAGTACAGGCCGTTCTAGATGGAGAACGGGCCGTTCTAGATGAGTCTCAGAACAGGTCGTTCTGATTTCAGAACGGGCCGTTCTGCATGTGATTTTTGCACATGAGGAAGGGGTGCAGAACGGACCGTTCCGGATTCGGAACAGGCCGTTCTGGCCACTTCGAAACTTCTATAAATAGGGGTTGCCACTTGAGGAGAAAGTGAAGTTTTTAGAGAGAAGTTTTTAGAGAGAAGTTTTTAGAGAGAAGGACTCTGGGTCTGTGAGCTCTTTTCTCTCCTAAATTTCTCTGTATGATTCTTTTTCTCCTCTAGAGCACTAATGTATTCTGTCTTTTCTTGAAATTTAGACTAGAAAGCTTGCTTTGGGAGGATTGAAGTTCCAGGTTGAGCTTCGGAAGGGAATTCTACTTCTTTTCAGTTATTGGCTATTTTGAGCAATCTTCAGGTGAGGGAAGCTAGAATATTTGTTGTTTAGGTTGCATGTGAGTTTAGAAACTCAATTGATGCATGAATGTTGAGAATCCATAGATGGATTGAAGAAAATCTCATTTTTTGGGGTTTTGAGAAAAAAAAGGATTTTGATGATTTTGATGCATAGGTAGGATGCATGTGAGATTTAAGTTTATTTTGAGTTGTATGGAGCCTATACATTGTGTTTTGTGTTTGCATGTGGCTGGATTTGTTGATTTGGATGAGAGTTTTGAAACTCTCTGACTGGGATTAGACTGGGCGCAGGTTGAGCGCGCTGGGCGTGGAAGAGCTTAGAGCTCTTGGGTTGCTGTTAGGCCAGGCGCGAGCTGACTGCGCTGTGCATGAATATGTTTATAAATAATTGATTTAAATTGATCCTTATGCATGTTTAAAGTTGAAGTTTTAGATCATGTATGTATGATGTATGATGTATGATGCATTATTGCATGTGATGTCTTATGACATGTGTATGATTGTTGATCATGATGGTGGGCAGACCATGTATGATGTGTGATGCATAATTGCATGTGATGCCTTATGGCATGAGTCTAGCCTAGGACTTGAGGAGAGGAAAAATATTTTCGAACTGGAAGAGCTCACATAGAGTCTCTTGAGAGTGGTGCTTGGATAGGCCACTGATATATGAGAGTGGTGCTCAGGTAGGCCACTAGATTTGGGAGGGGTGCTCAAGTAGGCCACTGGGTTGGGTGAGTCTCCTCTAAGTCCTTAGCTAGTGTTGGAGCGAGGTATGAGGTCGAGGGTTATTCCCTTAACCAAGTACTCAGGCAGGTGCGTGGATATCCTTGCGGATAGTCGGTGGGCGAACTCCACAATTGACTTGGTTATGCATGCCAAGGTCGTGGTAAGCCCGTACCCAACTGTGCTATACCTGACGATGGATCTGGACTTCTGATTGTGTAAGTGACATCATCCGAGTAAACCCGAGTGAGGATTATATCCTGTTTAGCTGTGACCGAGCGGGCGCATTGGGCGTGAAAATGGTTGGGGTGGTTTCGGTAGGATGGGATGTCACTTATACAGCTCTATTGTTAGGGAGATCTCCTAGGTGTATGCGTGACGACGCATTAGATGATTGATATGCATTGATATCTGTCATGAGTTGCATGTATTGCATGATTGTCATGATGATGAAGTGTATGGTGTTTGACTTCATGTTTGATGAATGGATGATTGATTGAGATGGAAGGTTCCTTTGGGACTTGATTGGGATGCATGTGTAGTATAGATTTTATTTTGTACTTGTATGATTGATTTTTTGAACTCTAACTTACCATTCTGTTTCCATGTGGTGGGACTACAATGATCATACTTGGTATGGGAGCAGGTCAGGGATAGCTTAGAGTAGAGGTGACCGCTGCGAGACGGGGAGTTTGAGCCTCGTGTTAGAGTTACCATTTTGGGTAACGATTTTGTCTGTGCTTGACCAGCACTAGGGAATATTTTGGGATGACTGTACATATATGATGTTTTATTTTGTATACAGAAACTTAGTTATTTTGATCCTTATATTTATGTCTGTATGTATGTGTTATCCAGTTTAATATTCTCTTAGTTAACTAGTTGTAATGCGATTCCACTAAGTGTAGAGACCATGACGGGTCGTTACAGATAGCATTGTAACAATAAAACATATTTATTTTAAATTTTATTTTGAATTCATATTGGTTGTTTGAACTGATAACAATATGTAACAAATCAACAAATAAATTTTAGAATTTAGTTTGTATCTATTTGTTTTATGGGTTATAATATTGCATTTGCAATAATATATTAAATAATTTATATTTATTATCAAATATTCAAAAATAAATTAATTAATTATGTTGATCCGATTAACCTAAACAATCCAACTCATTCGTGATTGAGTTGGATTGGATTGAGTTGAGTTTCAAAGTAAAAATGCATAAACCTAAGTCAACTCGAGATGAGAATAGATCACACATTAAATAGGGACCTATGACCTAATTTGTTAAAAGTCTAACCTAACTTGACCTATTTAA